AGTCTGTTGAGGTTGGCTTGTAATTTGAAGACATTCTGTAAGGACGTTATTCCACTGCACAGCTTGGTGTCATCTGCAAAGACTGAAATGGGACTGAAATCCCAGACCCTATATTATTTATAAATATATTAAAAAGTAAGGGTTCCAACACTGAACTTTGGGGTACACCACTGACAACCCTAGACCATTCAGAGTATGAATCATTAACCACTACTCTTTGAATACGATCTTTTAGACAGTTTTCTATCCATTTCCATACAGATTTTCCCAAGCCTGTAGACTTTACCTTACACATTAGCCGTGTGTGGGGAACTGTGTCAAACGCTTTTTCAAAATCCAAGTATACCACGTTCAGCAGCCACCCCTCTGTCCAAGGTTTTGCTCACCTCCTCATAAAAAGAAATCAGATTTGTTTGACAACTTCTGTCTTTCATGAATCCATGCTGTCTGTTGCTTCAAATATTTTTTTCCAGCAAGAACTCATCTACGTTATGGCAAACATCAAACCAGCCCATACACGCCAGTCCTAGCAGTGAACTGATGTCAGCCTCTGGAGCAGTGATATTCATCTGCTGGCACCTTGATGGTAATTGGATGTATTTTTTTTTGGGGGGGGTGAAGTGTATAAAGATGGATGTTTGTAATGTATATGTATGCAGGTAAATGGCCTGAGATTCTCATCATCAGCGCTGTACAAATTCAAGAAGAGCTAGATTTGAGTGACTATGCTCCCAATATTTGCTGTGTGTGTGTGTCACAATTTCAGTTGCCCAAGCTGTAAGCACATAGGCCATGTTATTCCCAGCTGCCAGTGACCGCGTGAAATAAACAGGAGAGAAAGACAAAAGCACCAAGCAGAGTTTTAGTGAGCCACATGATTTAGGTGCTTGGAGAGATTTGTCCTGCTCTTTCTTTTCAGTAGACCAGCTTTCTGCTCTATTCCTCCCTCTTCTCTGGCTGTTTGGTGTCAGATAACAGCACAGCTCTGTTAAACTGTGTGCTTAGAAGAGATTAGAGCAGCAATACCTCACTAGCTGACTAGCTATACTGAGTAGAGGGGAAGCATGCGGTTATCTGTGTGCCCCTTCCCCCAGCCACGCTGAGTTCCTTGCATACTTCTGCTGATACCTCCTCACTCACCAGCCTTGTGCAGTGTGACCCGATTAAGTGCCATCTTATAGAACAGCAACTAAAATGGCCATGTTACTGGTGCTTTGCTGAAATATACATTTGCTTACAGCAATATATATATATATATATATATATATATATATATATATATATATATATATACACACATATACATATATACACACTTACACATACACATTAGATATACATTTGTACATTTAAGCTGACCAATAATAGGGGATGGTGGGCTTTGTTCATCTTTTTAATGGTTTCCTATTAAATCACATGTACTTTCAAAGTACTGTAAACAATCTGAACTTTACAAACTTAGTAACTGATAAAAAGTGGCACTAATGCAATCTTCATACCATCTAACGTATCACAACAGGATGACATCCAAAATGGATATATCATTTCAAGGTAGGGCTAAATGTTGCGTAAGAGAGCTACTCAGCAGGCAAAGAGTACCTGTTTGTCTGAACACTCCCTCCACTGTATACTTCTTAAACAAAGAAGCCAGTCAAGGGTAGTATAAGGTATAAACTGTTATTATACATTTAGGCTCAGTTCACACTAGTGCATGTGGAGGGTGTTCCGGACCCACACATCATCCCACTGCTGCAATTAACCACACACAAAACGTGGGACACCCAGGTGCCATTAATCTTAATGGCATGCTGCCCGCACTGGAAATTGCACCTGCACTGTAGTGCGGTTTCTCAATGCGGGCTGCGATTTCTGGAAAGGTGCAGGGACCTATTCCCTGCGTTTTGAGAGGCATGACAGCTCATTCAAATGAATAAACTGCCATGCCACGGCCTGCAAAACAGCACTAGTGTGAACCGAGCCTTCAAGTGAAACTCCAGAAATTAACTTTTCTGCAAACTTTCATTGGTCCAGCTTGGCATGATGTAATTATCCATATCTTATATCTTGAGAGCCACTGTGGACACTGAAAACAACTGTAGTAATATGCCCTACATACAGTTATAGCCATGATTTTCTAGGAGCAGCTTCTGCATTGCACAGTGAACATAGGGGGTAACTCACTTAGCACTGCTGCCATTCAGAGAACAATGTTCACCACGTCCAAACAGAGATTGCCTTATACACACTGAAAGAAAATACAAGGTGTTCTCTGCATGGCTTTGGCAAGCAAGCAACTTCCTATGTTCAGTGTGCAGAAAAGAATATCATGGCCATCACAATAGGTACATTGATTTTCAGCATCCCCAGCAGCCCCTGGATAGTATTTTCATAATACAGGATTTATATAGCGCCAACAGTTTGTGCAGCACTTTACAATATAAAGGGAGACAATATAGCAACAATACAATTTAATACAAAAGGATTAGGAGGGCCCTGTTTCTAGGAGCTTACAATCTAATAACTGTGAGGGATGAACTGATGGGAGAAATATAAGATTCAGTTGTTAGCTGAAGGCAGGATAGGCTTCTCTGAAGAGATGAGTTTTCAGGGATCACCTATGAGTGGACAGAGTAGGAGATAAACGGAGAGATTGGGGTAGGGAGTTCCAGAGGAACTTGAGAAGTCCTGGAGGCGAGCATGGGAGGAGACAAGGGAGCTAGAGAGCAGGATGTCTTAGGAGGAGTGGAGAGGATGGTTTGGGTGAAATTTGGAGATGAGATCCACAGCAATCTACCCGTCAATCACAGACAGATGACGGGTAGATTGAATCTCAGCCAGCACATGTAAAGTAGCGTGGGAAGCGGCTGTAATAAGACTCTTTCATAGCGTGATCCTTCCTGCCGGCCCCTCCTTTCCTCCCCAGGTGCTTGTATGTGATATCACCTGGGGTGGCCGGCAAGAAAGGAGTGGCCAGTGGGAAGGATCTTGCTATGAGACAGGTCTTATTACAGCCGCTTCTAGCGCTACTGTGCATTTGAAGGAAACTGGTGTGTGCCCTGAACCCTGCTATTTGTAGTGTGCCTGTGTCCTGCTGTGTGCCCCATGTCCTGCTGTATGCCCTGTGATGTGTCCCATGTTCTGCTGTGTACCCTATGTCTTGCTGTGTGCCCCATGTTCTGCTGCGTGCACCATGATGTGCTCCATGCTCTGCTGTGAGCCCATGATGTGCCTCTTGTTCTGTTGTGTGCCCCATGATCTGCCCCATGTCCTGTTGTGAGACACATGTTCTGCTGTGAGCCCCATGATATGTCCCATGCCCTTCTGTGAGCCCCATGTGTCCCATGCCCTGCTGTGAGCCCTATAATGTGCCCCCCATGTTTTGCTATGTGCGCTGTGATGTGCCTCATGATGTATCCCATGTTCTGCTGTGTGCCTCATGTACTACTGTGTACCCCAAGATGTGCCCCATGCCCTGCTGTGTGCCCTATGCCCTCCTATGTACCCTATGATGTGCCCCATGTTCTGTTGTGTGCCCCATAATGTGCCCTGCTGCCCCCCCCATTGTAATGTGCCCAATTGTGACCCATAATGTGCCCTGCTGTCCCCCCTGTATTGTGTCCTCCTGACCTCCTTGCTCTGTCCTGCTGCCCCCTTTACACTGCTTATCTCAAGTTAAACCCAGAACTCAGCATCTGTGCAGAAAAAAAATACAGCACACGTTCACATAAAATAGGTAAGTTTTAATATTTGATTTATTATTTATTGCTATTTCTTAAAATAATTGTTATATTACAGGTCACTGGTCAAACCAATATTCCGTGAGCTGTAGATTTGAACATTATATCAGGGGCTCCCTGAGAGCTAAAACGTTTTGCCATGGGTTCCTCGAAGGTAAAAAGTTTGAGAAACACTAATCTAAAGGGATTATTTTCTTGTTTTTATTCCTGGTTTGCAGAGGTATGCTATCTGCATTTCACTGTGCAAATTACTAACGGACTGTAAAAAAGTAGCCTTTACACTAGTTTGAGGCTATTATGGTACCATTTAAAGCACAAAGGAGGAGAAATGAAGCTCAGATGTGATATTTGCAGAGTTTCTGGGTGTATGGTGTTTTAAGTGTACAGCTGGGCTTAAAAAAAAAACAAAAAAAAAAAAACAATGACGATGTTTATAGTAAATTATACCAAGCGGATTCAATCAGTTAGTTATAGAACAACAGTAAATGGAAGTGTCTGTTCCTATGTGTGTCTGAACTTTATTAATACTACAGTGATGCAAATAAGTATTTGATCCCCTGCTGATTTTGAATGTTTGCCCACTCACAAAGAAATGATCAGTCTAAAAATCGAATGGCAGGTGTATTGTAACCATGAGAGACAGAATAGCAAAAAAAATTTCAAAAGAAATGCATGTCTAACAAAATTATGCACTGATTTGCATGTTCATGAGGGAAATAAGTATTTGATCCCCTATCATTCAGCAGGATTTCTAGCTATCAGGTGTCTTTCATACAGACAAAAAACTGAGATTAGCAGTCTCTTAAAGGGAGTGCTGCTAATCTCATTTTGTTACCTGTATAAAAAAGACACCTGTCCACAGGAGCAATCAAACAATCAGATTCCAAACTCTCCACCATGGCAAATACCAAAGAGATGTCCAAGGATGTCAGTGACAAGCTTGTAGACCTACACAAGGCTGGACTGGGCTACCAAAGTATCGCCAAGCAGCTTGGTGAGAAGGTGACAATAGTTGGTGCAATAATTTGCAAATGGAAGAAACACAAAACAACTGTCAGTCTCCCTGGTCTTGTTGCTATTCTGTCTCTCAGTGTTACAATACACCTACCATTCTATTTTTGTGAGTGGGCAAACATTCAAAATCCATAGGGGATCAGATACTTATTTCCTTCACTGTACCTGCACTGAACTATTAAATAGGTTCAAGAAAAAAATTGCAATAACATGCATGGCAAAGAAATTAGTGCTCCTAATATACATTACCTTGTAGGAGATTTCAAAATTCTCTCCACCCCAGATCTGAAGACCTGGATCATACAGACCAAGCTCGAAAAAGTAATCTCGCTCAATTGCAAACAATCCTCCAGCCATGGCAGGTGACCTAAACAATAATTGCAGTGAAAAGGTTTGTCAGCACTCGGACAGTACAGTGAAAACTGAAAACAAAATCAGGAAAACTCGTACAATTAGGACATAATAATAGACTAAGATACAAGCAAGCATAGCAAAGGATATATATCAATGGTAAGCACAGTGAGCTGGAATGGCATATAAAAAGCTGCAATAATCAAAGCTGAAAGGGAGGCAGAAATGGTGAGTATAGGTTCACTATGTATTGCACACATCTATCAAGAGTTTTTTTCCCCTTATGGCTGTGTAAATTATGGCCAGAGTAATATTTTATAACATTTTATAGGCACTACTCCCGAACGTCAACCTTTTTAAGACTAGTAATCAATGGGCATCTGCAATAATACATTTCCAGGTTCAAATAGTTCTAAGTGCAATCTTGCTTTGTACATGTTACTTGTGTAGTGCTGATTTTTTCCTTCCCAAGCTCAGTGATAAAACAAACATTCATGCAAGAATTATAGAAATGAAAACTAAAGACTTTGTTAATTGATATTTATGCCTTCCTTAACAGACCAAAGAGTCATGTGGGATTTGGAGGGGTGTTGGTTCTTACTAGAAAAGCCTTGCACCTGCCAGCATTCTTCAGAGAGGGATCCTTGCACTCCATGTAGAAGCAGGGGTCTCTCTCTACAGATGTCCAACACACCCCTTGCTGGGTCAGTAAAAGAGTTCTTCAAACAGCAATAAGAATGAGCTTTGCAAACTGCAGAGCTACATGTTTGTATTAGCTGTACCTCTGAACTGCTTCCACACAAAGAGCAGGGGTCCATCCCTGCAGCATGCTGGCTGTGGACAGGCTTTTCTATTCAGGTTGTGGCTGCTTTTCAAAGAAAATTAACTGTAACACTTTGAATATCTTTTGTTTAGATGTACCTGCAATGTATTTAGCTGATTTAAACTGAAAGTTCAGTTGGACTTAAACAGTGGAGATTGAGAATTCCATTCCTAACTGGTTCTCTTTAAACTGCTTTGCGTGTTAAATAATATGTGCTCAACAATGAATGCATTAAACAGCAAACGCATAGCACTGCATTAAGATTATGCATTTCTGACGCAATGAACTACAAATGTGATAGTTTTTATGAAACTGGTACAAAAAAGTCATGCGAATGATTTAAAAATAGGTTTTATTCTGCTGTAAAGGTTTGGATTGACTGAGCAGTTGAAAATAACATGCACAGAAAAATCAAACCATGATGTGCATTTAAAAGACTCATTTGTCTGACTGAATGATTCTCCTTTAATGCAAGTAGGCCATAGACGAGGCAAACTGTTTGAGATACTGAAATGCTAGAAGCAGACATGGTTTTTAAAAGGATTTTCTGTCACTTGTGTCATTTTAGAGAGCATAAATAATAGTATCTCCTGAAGACTATTGCCTTTGATTTTCCTTCTGTATAAAGTTGAGCTTTTTTCTGTTATTCCACTTTAGAAATGTTAATTAAGAGGAAGACTCAGTGATGTTCACCCCATTTAGCAGCTAGGCTTTTCAAGGTTATGCTTTCTTCAAGGACTACAGTTACCCAAGGGACCCTGAAGTTCATTCCATCAACAGTAATAACCCAGGACTTGTATTGTTTTATAGCAGGCACTCAATACCTGCATTTACCTTTGTTTTTTAAAGACCCCCTGAGCCTCTAACTGTTCACAGTCTTCTCTGTACCCTATTACCACCCTGAACCTTTAAATGTTCTCAGCCTTCTATGTTACCCAAAGTCCCCCTAAACATCTAATTAGAGGTGTCTAACCCGCAGCCTAAGACGGCTATGAATGCGGCCCAACACAAAATTGTAAACTTACTGAAAAATGTAAATTTTTTTTGCAGGGGAATTTTTTGTAAAAATGCGTTTACACTTAGCAAACACATGCAGTCAAAGAAACATTTGATAGCGTCTCTTTACTGCACTTTTATAAGTGTTCTCTTCCCACAGAAAAATATTTCACAGTCACATCTTATTCATTCAGTTTTCAGCAGCACTCTATATTTGTGAGCATTATTTTCAAACATTAAGCACAAGAAGGGCAAAATTAGAACCAAAATATCTGATGAGCACCTTAAGAATTCACTGAAAATTACTACTACATCCATTGAAGCAGATATTGATGTGTTAGTTTATCAAATACAGTGTCAAATGTCGCACTGGCTTTATGTTGCCCTCTTTTATAATAAAACAAAGTTTTATTACACAGATAGGTTAATTATCTATATCAGTGATTGTTATCTTCTGATCTGCCTGGCGTTTTTTTAAGCTCCTAGAAGCTGTTATTAGCATTTTTTTCTGCTCCTATAAGCTAAATAGTGGTATCCTATGTGTCCATACGCACTAATTTAGTCGGCTATTAGCATTTTTTGAGCTTCAGGGTCTAAAAGCAAAAAAAAAAAAATTTTTTGTAGAGTTTTTTGAAGGGTTTTTCCAGAAGAAAAAAAAACACTCAACACTCCTAAACGGTATTAAAACGCTCCAATCTGCTTTTTTCTAGCTTTGTTATTTTTTTTCCTTTGCATCTACTGTAAAAATGCTAATAAAACGCTAATGCTCTAAAACACTCCTACCAGCGTTATTTCTATCATTTTTGAGCTTAAAAAAAGGCTGTGCATGGAGCCTTATTGTTGGTGTATTTTATGTGTGGCCTAAGACAATTCCTCTCCTTCCAACGTGGCCCAGAAAAGTCAACAGGTTGGACACCCCTGCTATAATTGTTCACAGTCTTCTAATGTACTCAATTAACACCCTGAACCTCTAAAAGTTCTCAGTCTTCTTTGTGACCCAAAGTCACCCTGAACCCAGATGTGAACTGTATGTAGATCTTGACTTGATTAGTCAATGTGTAACACTATCCTGTCTTGCCCTGAGGCTTCCCATAATGCAATGCACACTATCAGGCCAAAAGGCTGATTCTGCTGTGTAGTCTGCACTCTTCAACAGGACTAATCTACTACATTGCTTAGCAATATGTGTTGCATAGATACTTATCAGACGGTCACTTTTCTCAGAGTATTGTAGAAAGGGTCAAGGTAGATGACAGAATTTAAAAAGATCCAGCAGGTTTTTAAAATTCACAATGTGCTGAACAGACTTTGTGTGAACAAGGCCTAACACAGTGATCAGCTTGCATTACATCTTTCCATCATCGTAAATGACTTATTATAAAACTTGGCTAAAAGAAAATTGTTTTTATATTTACCTGCAATAGTTCTAGGTTATTAATGCTGACTTATTATTGAAGTCGGTTTTATTTTGAAGAGCAGCTACAATTTTAATATTAAATAGCAGAAGGACCATTTTGTGTAATAAGAATGATTAAACTTCTGCTTTTTTGCTTGTGACAACTGTTATCTACCACTGTCTATGGAATGCTCAGAGTCAGGTATATTTTGTCAAAGGACATCCAGTAAAGTTAAAACGGCTTTATTAGACATCAAGAATACTGTAAGCATTGTGTAATCCTAAGGGAATCAGACTGGTAATAAATACTATCAATATGATAGGAAAGTGTCTGGACAGAAACAGAAACCTGCCAGGTTATAAATTGCTGACTTGTGTTACTGCTGTTGCTGAATAGTGTTTGCAAGAACAAGTTCTAGAACCAAAATCCTTTGCCTTAGCTTTTTTTTTAAATACTTAATGAGCCTTTGTCCCAGAGCACATACAGTGCTGTGAAAAAGTATTTACCCCTTCCTGGTTTTTTTTGCATATCTGTCAAACCTAAAGTTATTCTAAAGGCTTAAATTAAAAAAAAAAAAAAAAACCCTTCCTGGCCCCTTGCTCCTTTCAGGGGTCACCACAGCAAGGAACTTGCTATGGGGGCACCTGAGCGTGTGCTCTCCTCAGCCACTGCTCCGTTTATCCATTCACAGGGAGGGTTACAAAGCAATTTCTAAGGCTTTGGGACTCCAGCGAACCACGGTGAGATCCATTATCCACAAATGGAAAAACGTGGAACATTGGTGAACCTTCCCAGGAGTGGTCAGCCTACCAAAATGACTCCAAGTGCACAAGGATGATTCATCCAGGAGGCCATAAAAGAACCCAGAACAACATCTAAAGAACTGCAGGCCTCACTTGCCTCAGTTAAAGTCAGTGTTCATGATTCAACAATAAGAAAGAGACTGGGCAAAAATGGCATCCATGGGAGAGTTCCAAAGCGAAAGCCACAGCTGACCAAAAAGAACACAAAGGCTCACATTTGCAAAAAAAAAAATCTTGATTATTTCCAAGATTTTTCGGCAAATATTCTGGGGACTGATGAGACAAAAGTTAAACTTTTTGGAAAATGTGTTACCGTTACATTTGGTGTAAAACTAATATAGAATTGCATAAAAAGAGCATCATACCAAAAGTCAAACATGGTGGTGGTAGTGTGATGGTCTGGGGCTGTGCTCTAACAGAAAATTCTGAAGAAGAATTTCCAGTCATTAGTTTGTGACGTCAAGCTCAGGTGCACATGGGTTATACAGCAGAACAATGATCAGAAACACACCAGCAAGTCCACCTCTGAATGGATCAAAAAAACCCACAAAAATTAAGGTTTTGGAGTCCAGACTTAAATCCAATTGAGATGCTGTGACATGACGTAAACAGGCCATTCATGCTCAAAAACCCTCTAATGTAGCTGAATTAAAACAATTTTGCAAAGAAGAATGGGGCAAAATTCCTCCACAGTGATGTAAAAGACTCATTGCCAATTATCGGAAATGCGTGATTGCAGTTGTTGCCAACAAGGGTGGCAAAACCAGTTATTAGGTGTAGGGGGCAAGTACTTTTTTCACATAGAGCCAGGCAGGTTTGGACAGCTTTTTTTCCCCCTTAATAAATGAAATAATCATTTACAAACTGCATTGTGCATTTACTTGGGTTATCCAAGTAAATATTAAAATCTGTTTGATGATCTGAATCATTTAAGTGTGACAAATATGCAAAAAATCAGGAAGGGGGCAAATACTTTTTCACAGCACTGTATGTGTATATCAGGTTTCCTGAAACTTCACAGGCTGCATGCTTGTTCCATGTCAATAACTCACTATTTTGTAAGTAACGATGACAGCTTTGGAGCAAACATTTTTAAAACACTGTCATTAAGTGATGGCAGCTTCCATATTCCTACCTTTATAGGTTCCCTATAAATGTTACCATTTTCTGAAAGTCTGCTACAAACCTGGTATGGAGCCTGCTCAGCAAAATATGGATTACACTTAAGAAAGGAATGTGTATAGGGGGTATTATTTTCTAGTAGCCCTAGGACAGAGGTTATGTCATTCTCTAGATTACCCGTTATCTGGTTCTAATGCTGAAATCCCATTTATCAAAACAAAACCCTGCTTTTATATCCTACACTAGTGACTATACCAGAAGATGAGCTACCTACTGAATTCTATGTGCAAAAAGGGCTCAACATTAAATAATGTGTCCTTTCTATACCTGGCTGTATAAATTCTGAAATTCAGCTTTGCACATGTGAACTTATTTAAATCCACTTTTAGACTGCGACCCACAGAAATGGTTCAAATATATATTTCCGATTCTTTCTCTTTGCCGCTTTGAAATAGGCTCACATGGCTTTAAGGTCGCCTTCCATTCAATGGCTGCAGACAATGGCCAGTAGTGAGAAGACACTAGAGCTCATTATATAGGACATCAGGATGGCACATAGCTACATTTTAATTTCATTTTGAATTAATTTTTTCCTACATGGGAATGAGAAAATTACAGAATGATTTTAGTGTTATAAAGTAAGATTATGACATGTATTCAACATTGCAGAGAGGAATATACAGTATATATTAGGTATAGTGGTTCTGAAATATGTCAGTGTCTGGATAATAATGATGGTTACTATATCAAAAATGCCTCAATGTGAGGAACTGGATTACATTTTGTTTAATTTTTTACAAATTAGCTGAGGAATAACTTTACACCAAAAAAGGGTAAAGAAAATAAAAATCAAAAAGAGTAACAGGGTTACGTGTATAGGCTGGGTTTTGCTGGTACATATTTCTAAGAAAAAGGACATGGCAGGTAATAATTTGGTAACTAGAGGGGAATCAGTGATGGACTTGTTGTGGATTTGAATTGTAATAGGTTTAGTGAAATTACAGTTGCACTCTCATACAATGTAGAATACACAACACACAGTTCTGTAGAGCACATTTATCATAGAGGCACATGAAAGTAAAAAGGAAAAAGCTGTGAGGGGTGACTTTGGAAATTATTGGAAGGTAAACAAGCGTGTCACTTTCAGCACCAATAAGCGTCCCTGTGCCAGGTGAACTGAGAACAAGTTATGTCCATAGAGAAAATGAGCCACAACCTAACAGTCCATGACTGTCAAAGAGAAACAGCAATGCAGGACTAGGACAATTCACTTTAAGCTACTTTGTCAGTAAAGCAAATACCTCAGTCCCATTTAGGTTGAAAGCTTTTACTAGAGAAAAGTGCACACTATGTATATTTTATGTAATACAATTTTATGTGTACATATCTTAAAACATTAAATTATGTCAGTTTCTTAGCTGTACATGAAAATTGACCATTGCAATCCATGTCACTGGTTGCTGTTCTAATACATGGTGCCCAATGTCACCCATTATAGATTATGTAAAAAAATCACAGCAAATTATAAAAGCTTTAGGAAACATTAGTTCATTTATAATCAAGGCCGTTGGACCATTCTATGGAACAGCAGAGAAGCCCACATGGAAGAAAAATATATCTGAAATATATTTTAAAAATATATGACTTTTTTATGTTAAAAAAAAATCTGAAGAATATATTTAAAAATATACATGTTTTTAAAAAATATATATATTTTAAAAATATATTTTTAAAATATATTCTTCAGATTTTTTTAACATATAAAAAAAGTAATTTTAAATGTAGATTTGTATTTTTGAAAACATACAGTATATTTGAAATTAATTTTTACAAATATTTTTCAGATATTTTGTAATAAAAACACATTTCAACATGCAGTATATATATATATATATATATATATATATATATATATATACACATACATACATATATATATAGCAATATATTTTGAAATATAATGAATATGGCCAAAATTGTGGCAATATATTAGGGAAGAACATTTTTAAAATATATTTCAAATATATTTTTCTTCGATATGGGAGGCTTCTCCACTCCAGCTTTCCCATTGTAAGTGGGGCTTGAATAAATATCCCAGTAGTCTCTTTTGGAGCTGCGTGAATGGAAGTGGTGATCAGCATCTTTTTGAATTTGTTGTATATTATAAACATTGCCATGTCTGTATACCAGGGTGCCCATTCTCAGTACAACCAGCCTGCTCAGAGATGAATCAAGTCTCAGGTGGTCCCTACTGAACCAGCCGAGATTCAATCCATCTATGGACCGCTTAACAGGTTACATACAAGTGGTATCAGAGTAATGCCTAACTAATCTAAAAGAACAGTGAATTCAAGGAATATATAGGGATATTCATATTTCAGACTGATCACATCTTGGTAAAACCCATAAATTTGTCATGTACTGTATGGCTCCAAGCTAAACAGGACTGTGGCAGAAAATTCAGAGAGAATTAGTACATCAGTAGGTCATATGGAAAAGAAACCTGTAAGTGGTTTAGTGATTACCGATATGGCTCAGTTTTTGTTTTTCTCATTTCCTTCTCTTTTTTGGTCAAGGGCACCCGTTTCCATAGCATACTCCAATCCCATGCTCCTCTAGCATACCCATCTTCATCACCTCCCCCTTGCGGTAATAAATGATAATTGTTGCCATCTATGACATCTATCAGAGGTACAGTGCATGCGGTTCTATTCCAGTTGTGGTGATGCAGGATGGAGAAGGGGTTGACACGAAGGACAGACACAACAGAAAGAATGCAAAACAGGACAAGGGGATAAAAAAAAACAGAAAAATGTTTAGACAAACATGGACATTGAAGATAAATCCACACTGTTTACCAATAAGGTTCAGTTTTATGCTTTCGTTTGGCCTTTTCTCTGTCACTTAAAGGAATTCGTTTCCATAACATGCTCCAGTCCCAGGCCCCTCGAGCAAAACCATCGCTATCCCCACCTTGCTGTGGCTCGATGGTATAAACATTGCCATCAATGTAATCTATTAGAGGAACAGTACAAGCGGTTCTGCCAGGATTCCAGGAGGGAAAAAATAAAACATTCACAACAAGAACAGAACAAAAAAAAACCTTTTTAATTAGGCAGTAAATAACAAGGTAAAGCAATAAACATATCTATTAGTAGAAAGTAAAAGTTTTAATATTAGTGCACTTGCTGACTGCTTCACAAATGTAGCTACATACTTTCCAGTGAGGGTCTATAGAGATTATTGGTGGTAATGTATTTGTAATTATATACAGTGCATTCAGAAAGTATTGAGACCCTCTCCACTTTTGTTTCAATTAGTTATGCTGCAGCTTAATACTACAGTTGTTTAAATTAATTTAATTGCTCAGTTTAGCCATGGCGACCAGCTCTTGAAAGAGTCCTGGTTGTGGCAAACTTCTTCTATTTGAGAATTATGGAGGCCACTGTGCTCTGGGGAACCTTCAGTGCAGCAGAATGTTTTTGCAGTCTTCCCCAGATCTGTGCCTTGCAATAATCCTGTCTCTGAGCTCTGCAGGCAGTTCCTTTGACCTCGTGGCTTTTGCTCTGATACTGTATGAATTGTCAGCTGTGAGGCCTTGTATAGCGTGGTGTTTACATTTCCAGATCATGTCCAATCGCTTTAATTTACCACAAGTGGACTCCAATCAAGGTGTAGAAACATCTCAGTCTTGATCAACAGTAATAGGAGGCACCTGGACTAAATTACAAGTCTTGTTGCAAAGGGTCTGAATACTTATGCCAATGTGATATTTCAGTTTTTCCTTTTTCATAAATTTGCAAGTATTTCTAAAATTCTGTTTTTCCCTTTGTCATTATTGGGTACTGATTGTAGATTGAGAACAAAAAATGAATTTAAACAACTGTAGTATCAGGCTGCAACTTAACATAATTGAAAGATGTGACGGGGATCTGAATACTTTCTTAAATATATATATATATATATATTTGTATAATTCCAAACAAATTTTTCAGGGCACAATAACATATCTAGATCTTCCCAATAACACAGCAAATCTGTACTTTAAGAGATGATTTCAAATGCTTTGGTCACTGCACTTTGTCCAACATCATTAAACTTTACCCTGCTTTGCTGACATCTAGATGTAGTTTATGAGCTGGTAAAAGCCGAGGACCTCTGGTTTACAGTGACAGAGAGGCCAACATGTAGAGGAATATATATATATATATATATATATATATATATATATATATATATATATATATATATACACATATATATATATATATATACACATATATATATATCTATATATATATATATATATATATATATATATATATATATATATATACACATACATACAGATGAAACTCGAAAAATTAGAATATCGTGCAAAAGTTAATTTATTTCAGTAATGCAACTTAAAAGGTGAAACTAATATATGAGATAGACTCATTACATGCAAAGCAAGATAGTTCAAGCCGTTTTTGTCATGAGCTGTAAGCCATAATCATCACAATTATGACAAAATCACGGCTTGAACTATCCTGCTTTGCATGTAATGAGTCTATCTCATATATTAGTTTTACCTTTTAAGTTGCATTACTGAAATAAATGAACTTTTGCACAATATTCAAATTTTTTGAGTTTCACCTGTGTATATATATATATATATATATATATATATATATATATATATATATATATATATATATACACACACATACGTACGTATGTGTGTGTGTTTTACATTATATATGCCGGGTTCCACGTACTGCATGGTTCACAAGTGGTTTGTGGTATGGGTCTGAATCACAGGAATTGTGGCTTCTCTGACCACCACTGCCTCTGTGCATACTGCAGCACCATTTGACATGTTAATGAATTAGGTGCCCATATCCATCATATTCACAATTATTTTACAATAATCAACTTGTATTTTAGGTGTCCCTTTAAGAGACAAGACTGTATTGCAGCAGAGTTGATGTGGCGTAACAAGAGTGCAGAGAAAGCATTTATGTGGAAGGTCTTTCATTTAGTCAGTTGTCATAACTGTGTGAGGAAATAGACTTCCACACCAATTTCAGCTATGCATGCTTATTCAACAGTAATGAAAAGGCACCAAAAACTAAGCCAAAGGGAATCGGCTCACATCCATGTGAATAAAACATTTCTGAGAAACCTGCAGCAAACATTGTAATGGTAATCAAATCTCGCCTGAAAAAGTAGAATAAAATTCAGAGCTATAATGGAAGTGTACTGGTTCCAGTTTATAGACTATTCTTGTTTTCCCTATTAAGTGTGGATTTTAATATATTCTACAGCTATGTATCAATTTTATGTTCAGGCTGCTGCTGCTGCTGTGAATGTTAATGTTAGCAAGTCCATATTTGTGTCAGACAGCCACCTAGCAGCACCTTGGATCTGGGTCTATTCTGTGCTATAGGTGCACTTTAATGCACCTGCACCTAAAGCTCATAGAAAGTTCTAGTTCTTTGCTTATAATGGCTCCATTTTCATCTATCTATATATCTACCTTATAATAAAATCCTGCTTGCCATTTATAGTGCACTTTCCACCAAGTGCATCCTCCATGGGATAAATTGCACAACATATTAAACCTATCATACATGCTTTAAATGGACATGACCATGATGAGTTCCTTAAAGTGGTTGTAAACCTCCGTTGTGAAATATGAACAAAGCATATCGCTCTATAGTGTGTGCTTGTCTCAATCCGTGTGTGCTGTCTCAATAAGTGTCATTTCTTTCTGTTGCCTCATTCCCCTGCTATCTGCATGAGTTTTCCTGACACCAAAAAAACATAGTGACAGGGGAGGGACCTCCAGTAGAGTGACAGCCTTAGCCTTGTTCCTGTGAACTGTGTGGAAGGGGGGGGGGGGGGGGGGGGGGTCCCCTTCCCTCCAATCAGTTCTCAGAGCTCTCCTCACTGAGCTTCCGCAGAGTGTAACTTCAACTCTCTGCCCCCTTTTTCTGACAGCGTAGACAAGCTGTCTAAATTCTACACTTTGAACAGATATAGAGAAGAGAAGGCTGCAGATAAATAGGCACAAATCATGTAGGAGGATTCTTTTTTCATCTCTGTGTATCACCGGAGGCTAGTCACTTCACTAGGTATTATGTAAGTGTTTACAGTTTAAAGTGCAGTAGACAAGAGTCAGCTCACCATCCTGGCTCTTCTGTCTGGTAGAGCTGTGTATATCTAAGGCCTGGAAAGACCAAAATAAAAAATTCCTTTCTTTCCCAGAAAGTCAAAGTGTATTGTACATGTGTAATGGCAGTGCTGCTTCCATGTACTATATAAAGTGCTACATAATATACTGGAGGTATATAAATCCAGGTAATATACACTCACCTGCCAATTTATTCAGTACACCTGTGCAATTGCTTGGTAACACAAACTGATAATCAGCCATTCACAAGGCAACAACTCAATGCATTTAGGCATGCAGATGTGGTGGAGACGACTTACTGAAGTTTAAACCAAGCATGAGAATAGGGAAGAAAGGGGATTTAAGTGACTTTGTAAGTGACATGGTTGTTGGTGCCAGACAGGCTGATTTGAGTATTTCAAAAACAGCTGAGCTACTGGGATTTTCATGCACAATCATCTCTAGGGTTTGCAGAGAATGGTCCAAAAGAAGAGAAAATATCCAGTGAGCGGCAGTTGTGTGGATGAAAGTGCCTTACTGATATCAGAGGTCAGAGTAGAATGGGCAGACTATTTGCTGCAACATTCAGATGATAGGGTCAGACTTTGGCATAAATAACATGAAAGCATGGATCCATCCTGCCTTGTATCAACAGTCCAAGCTGGTGGTGGTGTAATGGTGTGGGGGATATTTTCTTGGCAGTAGCAAGGTGTACCTAATAAAGTAGCCAATGAGTGTATATCTATGCTCTTAAAATTAATTTTACAGTACAAGCAAAAAATACCTGAACCATATTCCCCTATGTAGCACTACAAAGGTGGTCTCCCGCTCAGTATCTTTATAGGCAACCCTAAGAATCTGTGACATCACTGCTATCACACACAAGCAGATCTTTCATCTGATCTGCAAAACATGAAAAATTGGCCATTGTATAAAAGAAAAATAACTGGGTATGTCTCTAATTTCAAGTATTTCACATGTATGTGCATGTTGCAACACTGATGATATTGCCTCAGCGTTGCAGTGCCACAGAAAATGTTGGTGCTACATCGGTAATAATACAAAAAACCCTTAAAGTAATGAAACTTTCCAGTAGGAAGCCTTAGTAGAGTAAATGATGTACAGCAATGATAACCATGTAAAGCTCCTGACCCATGATAATGGCCTGATTACTGGCCTCTGCACATTAGAAGACAGAGCAGAACTCTGAGGAAAAGGCTTTTGCTCAGAACTGTCAGTCTAGCTGTGTAATTTGCTGGCACTACACTGCTATGATTCTTTGACTTGGAAGGAATTCTAAAATGAGAAAATCTGCCAGGTAATTTCAGACAATGCAAAAGGTATACACAGGGTGCTGACACAAATAAAGCCAGTCCTAAACTATGCCACTTTTTAAAAATGAAGCAACCAGTGCCAGCATCACTTGTGACAGTCATAGAATAACCATTGATGCTGGCTCTCAGCATCTCATTACATTTAATTACAGCTAATGCATTTCATTACATCTATTTGTGACCTAAACCTGCAACTGTTGCACCCTGTTTACTGCAAGTGAACACAATTATTTCTAACAAACATTTACACTTTACCTGTCATGGGCTATGGGGGCTATTAATGGTGCATACCAATTAATTCCCACTTCACAGTGTGCATCTAGATAAATTAAAACCTGCAAAACATTACAAGGGTGAACACTGCATTATTCACTAATTCATAACCATTAAAATACTTACTGGAAATCAGTACCCCTGTGTAGTAAACGGGGCTATCTAGATTATTCAGGGTGAAAGCAAATAGCAATTACCATGTTCAAAGAGCATTACGTGTAAAAAAACCTAGGAAAAAATATATTGCAGCTTACCAGACAGTGGATGTGGTTGTTGCATTAGTTTTAATTTTTAGGCTTTTTTTCTTATACTTAAACCTGGTAATCCTGCCAGAAACACATTTCCTGTCAAAGGTAGGCAATGCTCATTTACATTAAATATCTATGGAGAAGCAGCGTTGTCACCCTAGGACAGGACTACACAACACTTCCCCCCCCCCCCTCAATAACAGAGATGGAGTTGTTCTGTACTCACAGGTAGCTTAGAACAATGTAACTTCATTAACAGTGCAACATGGATAAGTTCACCTTTATAAAAAAAATTATAAATGCACATGATTTTGCAGGTTAAAAAAGAATATATGCATTTATTATTTTTTTTACAATGCAGCCTGCAATGAATTGCATCTACTGATCACGGGTGCATTGTCAGGCTCCTGTAGACACGCAGTTTAGCTGTCTGCCCAGACCTCCATATGGGCAGACAGTTACTGAGGTGCAGGAAGAGGCAATGAACTATGAGGAAGCTGATCAGCGCTCTCGTAGTTCACTGAAAACTACAAGCCACCTGCTGCGGTGCAAGACAGGACTTGTAGTTCACGCATTCACAAATTAATAAATGAATGACACAGCTGTGTTGGCAGTGTATCTTTGAAATTTGACAGAGGGTGTGGGGAGAGGATCCTTCCACTGCTGTCACAGGGGGTGCTCAGGGGGAGAGGCTGGCTGCTGCTTACTGTTATGTTACTTGTTACACCCTAAATACAGGTTTTAAACATTTTACAAAAGGTGAAGTTATCCTTTAAATGAGAAGTATACTTAAAGCTTTTTGGCTATACGTCTCCTATGGATCACAAGAGTATAGTTTGTTCTGCGCTCCTGTGACCCATTTTCAGCCTACAGTGGGCTAATGTCTACTGTTGGCTGACATCACTGAGCCAGTCCAGGCTCTGGAAAGATCCTGACTATATGGTCGGGATCCACCCAGAAGCCTGGAACTGGACCGGCACCTGGCTCAGCCTCTCAGTGATCCATGGAGAGCCTGAGCCAGCCCCTCCCGCCCTCTCCATATCCAAGCCAGTAAGAGCTGGAGGAGCAGAGCAGAGAGCTAAATACTGACAGTTCCCAGCTCTCTGCTTGGAGCAAAGGAGGAGAACTGGGCGATCAGTGGTGTTTGATCACTCAGTTCTCAGTGCATAGCCACTGATGGACAGATATGGCATCGAATCGATGCTGCACCCAGCAAGGTGAGTTTTTTGGGGGTTTTTTTAAGTCCATACTTCGCTTTTAACTGACTAAAAGGGAGAAAATAATAAAAGTTCACTGTTAGGGTTTACTTATTGTAAAAAATTTTGATCGGTTGATTGTATAACACTTAGCATGTCATCACCTATTTTGCACTTATTCAGTATATTCAATGGTGTCTAGCACAATTTTTATTACAGTTACAATTAGCTATAGAGTCATAAAGCTGGTGAGTCCCTACTGGGGGAAGTGAGTAGTTAGATGCATCCCCTCAAAAAACACATGATCTCCAAGATTGCAAGTAACGTGGAGTGGTTATATGTTCTTTATTGAGTTTTACAATTTGTCCTTGAAAATCTAACTGCATGTAAAATCCATACATGGTCTAATACTGGGTGACTGACCAAACAGAATGGATCATACTGGGCAAAAAAGATCTTTATACTCAATAATTATCCACATTAAAATATTATCAGATGTGCCAGTATATGTGCTCAGAGGGATACAAATAACATACAACTATAGTTGTGAGCTGCAGACAAATGTCTTCACATTTCTGCAGTCTGGGATGGGTGATGTTCATGTCTCTGCAGGTTTTTCCGGCATTCTGTATAAAAACATATGTGCCAGTCCCAGCCAGTCCCAGCAAGCAAGTGTCCATTTCAACCCCAAGTTCAGTGCATACTTCCAAGATAGATGTTATTGTATGCAGCCTGGCTGCTTCTGACAGCCAGCTGGCTGTAATTTTATGTACAATTTGATAAAGGAGAGGGGGCTATATATGATTTTTAACTTAAAAAAAGTAAATTTGGCTCTTAAAGGGTAAATGCTTTAACTGTGGGAACTGCAAAGGATATTTAAATATTTTCATATTCTAAAAAGCAGGTATTTAATTTATGGACTTCAGTATCTAAAGCAACAGAGGTCAATGAGTACTTGTTTTATAGTGACCCTGACATTACATTTAAATGATACTAAAGGTGATACTAAAAAAAAACAAACATGTTATACTTACCTGCTCTGTGCAATGGTTTTGTACAGCACAACCCCAATCCTCCTCCTCTTAAATCCCCTGCTGGCGTTCCTGGCCCTTCCCCCCTGTTGAGTGCCCTCTGAGCATGCTCGCTCCCGTGCCATCTTTGTGTGTCTATAAGACACAAAGAACATGGCTCGGCCCCACCCCTGGTCCATCCTCAGTGGCTGTGATTGACAGCAGCAGCAGCCAATGGCTCCCTCTGCTGTGTCCCAGCCAATGAGAGAGAGATCCAGGAGAGCTGCATTGCTCATGACGGCGCTGGATTGTGATCAGGCTCAGATAAGTATTGGGGCGGGGGGGGGGTCTGAGGGGGAAGCTGCACACTGAAAGTAGTTTTTTTTTTTTTTAATGGCCATGCTAATCTTCTCTGTAGTGTTGTATCTTGTCAAAGCAAGCACACACAGAAGGTTTTTTACCTTCATGCATAGAATGCATGAAGGTAAAAATCCTTCATACTTTGGAACCACTTTAAATCTAGTTAAATTTATACCTCTAAAAGAACTGTTTAAAATACTTACCTTTCCTGATGCCTTCACCATTATCACCATTAACACCATTTACTTTTTTTTAGAAATTTTCCTCCAAGGTCCACAAGGAAACTGACATTTTCCATGAGGGTTAATTTTTTGGTCTCCTTACAACTCTCACTGGTTCCTCCTGCTGACTTACTCATTACTGCTGTATCCTGTAGTGATGGGAGGTCAGAGAGAGAACCACTGTGAACTGTGGGGGAACCCATGAGATGGAATTCTGGGCAGTGTGGACTCTGGAGGATGATTGCCACTGAACAGAGTGGTGTTCAGTGGCGTGGGAAACAGGAAAGGTAAAGTATTTACACTGTTCTTTAAGAGATATAAGCTTGGAAGGATTTAAATTTAAGGATCGGGTCACTTTAAAACAAGCCATAACTAACTTCTGTAGCTTCAGACACTATGGAGAAATTCATCCTAAAAAAATTCACAGCAGACATACTGGAACTGAAGATCCTGATTCTTCAATCAGATTTCTTCTTTCAAATGAAGCAAGGAGTGACTACCCTCCAATTTTTAAATATTAACCCCCTTTTTTTCAACAAGTTAGATTTATCATTAGAATTGTACGTGATGAAATCATTTACAGACTGTACATAACTCCAATAGAATGGCAAACAGAAATAAAGTATAAAGTAGCTTCCCTAATACTGTGATATCACAATAATTCAATATCATTTCCAGTTACAATGAAGTGAAACAATTTACAGACACGAAACATACTGTTGAAGAAAAAGATTCAAATAAGAAATTATTCATTATTAGTACAGAAATTCTCCTGGAAAAGTTCCAAAGTAAGTTAAAACAAGATTTAGCGCTTTTGATATAAATTAATGTGCAATACGTGATTGAACCGTTAGCATAATTAGCTGTATGCCTTTATATACTGTCAGCTAAATAAAGAGTTGGAATTTTATCAATACATGGAAGTGTTTATTGCAAGTTAAGGGGCACCTTTCTGGCTGTACTTTTCAAGAAAGCATGCTATATTGATACGGGTGAGCTGTTATTGGTGAAATGCTTTGAAATAAAAGCCTCCAGTATTCCACACATGAAATTTATGTGAGTACTTTAGGGCCTGTGACCATGGGCATTTGTTTTCTTTATTTGGAAAGTTTCCCCATGGTGGGAGGTGAACTGCAGGTCAAACATACTTCAAATCAGAAAATATTCCTTCCTCCCTTAGGAGGACTAGAAGAGTAGGGACTTTTAATGTGCAAAACAAAAATTCTATACATAAAAATTACAGATTTATACAGTAAACTAGAATTAAAAACATGATAACAAAGTTGCCATATCACATATATCATAGAAACCAAGTAGATGGTGGAGCGACACGTTTCATGTATAGCTTGCTTCTTCAGAATCCACTTGCTTGTACAGTCATTTAATATGGCTAAATAAAAACTCAGAAAATCCTGGGATGAGTGGAGCAAAAACCCAACAGAACAGGATCATGAATCAGAACCCTTAAGAAAACTCTCAAATTCTTTAGGGCAAAATGAATCCCTATCATGCCGGACAGATGTCACCATAAATTCAACAATAAATCTGGTCAAAGCCACTAGTGAGGGAAAAATCACCTCCAAACAGCCAAGATGTACAGTGTAATCAAGTCCCAATCATAACTTTGGCAACATCCCCTCTATCCGGTATCACCTCCAACTGTAATTTTTATGCATATAATTTGTGTTTGACACATTTAAAGTCCCTACTCTTCCAGCTTTCTTGAGGGAGGCTGGAATATTTTCTGATGGTAACTTGTATTTGATCTGTAGGAGGATTTGCATCTGGTTCGTAGATAATATTGCATGTCAAACATACCTATCAAATAATTATAAATTATCTCAGAAGCGTCTCAATCTGATGTCAAACTGATGCCATCAACGCAAGCCACTTATACTGGACCTTTAAAGCCTAACTCTATTTTTCAGTGAGGTAGTTCATTTGGACCAAGGTGGTCCAAATGAACGATTTCCTTCACAGTCAGTACTGTATAAACTGCATGTAGCAGTAGCTATACATCAATGTGTTCTGGCAGCAGGAACAGGACTTTCCCATCCCACTCCATGAACAACTTTGAATAAGGTTGAGCGCTGCTCCGCCATTGACAGTGAATACAAGAGTTCCTTTGATTGGATGAGGCGGAGAGGCAGACAATGGCGTCACAATCTCCACCTCAGCCTATCAGAGGAAGCCTTGTATTCATTCAAACATAAAGCTTCCTGAGAATGACTTGAACAGCACTGAACCAGACTTGATTTTTTTCTGGGAGCGGGCTGGAAGTCCCTGCTTGGTCCAAACTACCTACTTAGAGTTCACCAAAACATGGTGTTAGACTTTAACAACAAAAGGCCTTTCTCTCTACCATAAAGAAAAACTTCTTACCATAATTATGAACTTTATATTACAATGATTCATTTCTTGTTTGCATTTATTTTTCATTTACATTTCATCCCTGTTCATCCTTGTTTCACTTCATTGTATGTGGAGGTGTTACTGAAGTACAGGCGTACCTCGGTTTATGAATTTAATGCTTTCTGCGGGACTTTTCGTACTGCAAAAAATTTGTAAACCGAAACACGGTTTCCCACAGGAATGCATTGAAAACCAATTAATCTGTTCCGGAGGTCAGAAAAAAGTCAATAAGAGTCTTTTATCTGTTCAAAACACTTTATAAAGTGCACTTTAAAAGACAAATACTGTACAGGGACATGATTAAAAATTAATTCGTAAATGCATTGAAAACCAATTAATCCTTTCTGGAGGTCAGACAGAAGTAAAAAAAAAAAGTTTTATCTGTTCAAAACTCTTTATAAAGTGCACTTTAAAGACATAGGTGTCCGTTTATGACACAGAGAATAGCTGCGATTCCAAGGATCGCAGCTATTCTCTGGTCATTCACAGGTTATGACACTCAGGAGATCAGCGGAGAACATGTTCAGCCCTTCACTGGAGATCTGTGTTCTCCCTCCAGATTCTCCAGCCCAGAGCTAGAGAATCAGAGGGACCGCAAACTAAGCAGTGATAATTTACTTCTGCTTAGTAAACTGATCTTTTACTGTAATCTCGCGAGATTATAGTAAAATCAGCCATTTTCCACCGTTTGTAGACCATTCTCCAGTGTTTGTAGACCGTTCTCCCTTCGTTCGGAGAACTGCTTCATAAACTGCATTCACAGGAGAACTGTGTTCTCCGAGAATGCCAGAGAACTGAGCAGCGATCATTTATCGCTGGTTCATAAACGGACAGCATAGTACTGTACAGGGACATGATTGAAAAAAAAAAATCGTAAATGCATTGAAAACCAATTAATCCTATTGTGAAAAAAATTTGTAAACCGAGGCATTATTTTCAATGGATTTTCATTCGTAAACCGAAAATTACGTTAACCGAGGCGTTCGTAAACCGAGGTATGTCTGTATTGTGATACCATCATCATTATCTGGAGAGTTTGCTGCCATGATTTGGTTTCTGTATAGTGGTTTCAAAACTGAAATTAGTGAATAAGTGCGGACTTATGTTTGACCTTGTATAACTAGAACAACATGTAGTACCCACATCTTCAGATTATGGTGGGCACAGAAAAGCATCCCTTCTTACCTGTCCTATCTTGGCTTTCTGAGCGCCAATGCTTCTAGCTTGAATCAGACCTTCCCTACGTTCATTTCTAAAAACCTTAACCAGGCCATTCCATTGTTTGACATATTCTTCCAACCTTCCCTTTAAATGATCTGAAAAAAAAAACCACACAAGTGCAAACGTCATTACATCACATGTCTGTCTTTTTGCATCATAAAATGTGCCTGAACCATGATATCCTTCTTTGCAGCCAGGACAGCAGGCACAGGTCTGTCAGGATAAACAACTGATTGTGCTGCATTGACTAACGCCATTTGCACGGAGAGCTGATGAAATCATGCATCTGATAGCTTATTTGCAGAAGCTATGTTAATTTACATAATCCTCAGAGGATGCTTTAATAGCAAGAGACAACTCTATTCATTTCACAAGAGATATGCTAAGTGTGGTTTGACTGGGAGAGCTAATGGCTGAATGGTTAAACTTTCCTGAGCTGTGCAGCATTGCACGGGAAGAATCAGCAGGCCCTTTAGTATCAACACCACATAGACCTAGACAGTCACACAAGGGAAGGCCTGGCTACAGACACATTACACTACATTTAAGCAATACCATTCAGCTCTAACATGTTTCAGACTTTAGTTGTAGTACTTATTAACAGTAATGATTTCCATTGTAAAGGCTCTGGATGATTACAGTAACTATGTAGCTGTTGTGTATGTAATTCAACTGACAATCTCTAACTATAACCATATAAGTGGTGGCATTCCCAGTCCACTCAAGTTCCTGAGATGTGAAAAAAGGACTCCTTTTAGATCAAAGTACATGAGCAGAGGACACTCCTCAATATCCTAAGTCATGTGGATCATGAAGGATTCATGTGCAAAAAAGTAATTGGTAGGTTAACCCACTAATGCTTTTTTCACTGCTAGCACTTGAAGTTGGTAGATTACAAAACTGAGATGCTGAATGAACTTTTAGTGCAACATAACACTTCTACAAGTTAAATAGAACATGTATTTAAAAAAATGTTTATACATCAGACTAACAAGAGGGACAAGTGAGGGGGAAAGAGGGAGAGAAGGCTCAGAAAGAAGGATTGTTTCGCCAAAAAGGAAGGAGATTTGGAAATTGGAAGTGATTGCAAAGTCTTATTGTTGTTTTTTTTAAATAATATACACGTTATACTTACCTGGGGTCCTCCACTGGTGCTCCTGCTCCTTCTCTTCTGTCAGCTTCCTATGGGCGCACATGTGTAGGCTCAATTCCAAGCCGTGTTCCCTGCGTCCATAGACACACACAGCATGGTTTGGCCATGCCCCGCCTCCAGCTCCTTGTCACGGGATTTGACTGACAGCAGCAGAAGCCAATGGCTCCCGCTGCCTCAGCAAAGCCTGTGAGAGTGGGGATAAGAGAGAAAACTGCGGAGGGGCGTGGCTTGGCGCCGAGCGGAATGGCCGCTTAATGCAGGAGCTCCCGCCGGCCGGATCGGACTGCCAAACAGCGCGGTCGGGAGGGGTAAGATAGACCCCTCACATCATGGGGAAACACGACCGGATGCTCTCCGGCACCCGATCGCGATCCCCAAGGGGCCACAAGCCAGCTGGGAGACATATTAAGGAGCTCTTTAGCTCCCAGGCTCAGAGAGCAGGGCCGCAGCCACCTCCCTCTCTCTCTCTCAATCCCCCTCTCCCCCCCCTCTGCAGCCTCAGCCTCTGACACAGACACAGGCTGCTTCCTGCATGGCTATGCAGGCTGGAAGTGACACAGTGCCACAGCATGATCTCTCTCCTGCCACACAGTCCTTATCCCTAAAAGATCTACATGCTGTGGCCTCTGATATAAAGGCCTCTCTGGCTACTACCCTGACCACTGCCCTTAATGATTTAAGGGAAGACATCCGCGCAATGGGCTCAAGACTGGCTCAGGTAGAAACGGTCTCCAGTAGCAACAAGAATGCTCTACTACTCCACTTACAGAGACAGTCAGGGGTCCACACTGCGACTATCAGAGAGTTCTACAGGCAGATTGAAGACTTGGATAACCGTGGCCCTAGACATAACATTAGACTCCGCGGTGTACCAGAATCCGTGGAAAACCCTGATATACCTAAGGCAGTGACAACCATCTTTAACGACCTTCTGGGTCGCCCGCCGGCGACCCCTATTGAGATTGAGCGTGCACACAGAGCAAGTCGGCCCAGGGGGAGCGATGCGGATCCACCCAGAGATATCATTTGCTGCATTGTTAACTTCCCGCTCAAGGAAGATATACTTCGATGCGCTAGGATCAGAAGGCATCTGTCATACGAAGGAGCGGATATACAACTGTACCAGGATTTATCCAGCATGACCCTACAACAAAGGCGAGCTTTGAGGCCACTACTAGAGTCGCTCCGTTCCCATAATATTCTATATAGATGGAGATTTCCGTTTTGCCTTTCAGCTCGGGTTGGTGACCACACATATGACTTGCGAATTCCTGAAGATCTACCATCTTTTTGCTCGTCACTGAATATCCCATTGATCGACCTGCCTGACTGGCAGGGGTCTCTGAGAGGGCTTCCGACCCTGACCCCAGATTCAGCAGATGGTGCAATGGACTGGCAGGGCCACTCCCTTCGTAGAAGACGGACTGTCCCTTCGACTCCTCCAAGACCTCCCATTGGAGGCGCGGTGGCCGCTTCTAGCCCATCGGCCTCCCCCCCCGCGCACAGAAAGCAACGGCACGAGCCTTAAACGGCTCCCGCTCCCCTTTCATCGGGCCACTTCTGTGTAATTTTTTTCAGCTGCCTGTGGTTCATTATATTTCTTCTGTTGTTCCCATGGCCTTCCCTAAGGAACTCCGAATGCCTCCTCTCTCACAACTTGTTTTGCGCTGGACTCCCTTCCCAGTTGACACGTCATTTGTTAGCTTTTTGGGGAATCTACGCCTCTGGACCCTGACCAGCACCCACTAAGGGAAAGACGCCCTGCGGGTGTCTCCACTGTACCCCTGCCTCATTGGTTCTAGAACCTGCTGCGAGTGATAGTCGGTTGCTCCGATGTGGATTTCTTGACCCTCGGCTCGCTCTCTACTGCTGCGATTTGGCTCCCCGGGATCCCCCAGCTGAACTTCTGTCCCCTCCTCACCTGGAACCCGCCCAGTGAACTGGTCGCTCAAGTATCCGCCTTAGTGGTCAGCTTCCGGATTGTCCGCCCACCTTTTGCTGCATCCTCTTCGTACCCAAGGGTCCTCATCCTGCCTCAATGTCTGACGCTCTGTTATCTTTGAAGAAGCTCCCAGCTGAACTCAGCCTCTCCCTGGCGTTCTGTGATCGGCTATGCCCAGTTGATTTCTTCAGTGCTGGCGCAAGAGGGCTGAGTATTCTATGCACTGTATTTGGGTCTGTGGAGGTGGGCGGGTGGCGGGATGGGGGGGGGGTTTGTGGTTGGGTGTGGTGGGGGGAGTTTGTGGGGTGGCTCCTGGGGTTAATGCTTCTTGCCTGTGGTTAGATGACTGAGCATCCCCTTCCCTGCTTCCTATAGGGTTGTCCCGCCTGGCCTTGCCTTCTTCTCATTGGGTTATTCCTGTTTCCTGCTCTTGCTGTCAAGCGGCTTCTAGGGATCATAGCTTGGGCGGGGTCCCCTTGAGGTTCATTTCCCCTTTGCTCTAAGGATCTTAGTGGCCGTGCGGTTGTGGGGGGAGGTGATGCTCGTCCCTTTTGTGATGATGGGGGCATTGATTATATTACTTATAAACACTTGCAGTATAGGGTCAGTGTTTTGTTTAGTATCGGCTTCACTGGTGCTGACCCTGGGATGTTTAGTCTGTATTTGCTAACCACTTGGGGTTCCATTGTGTTTCTCATTGTTAATGCCTTGATTTTCGTTTGTTTTGCCTCTGCTAACCCGTTGATAACTTTGTTTTTTGTTAAGGAGATGCTTGCAATACTCGTCTTGGCCCTCCACTCTCCTACATTTGTCTTCCCTCGTTTCAGGCCTTGCGACCGTCTCCACATTCTCCAACCCTTCCCTTATATGTGTGTTCTGGAGTTAACCAGACACTCGGGCTTGGACAGCGTGGGGACGGTTTTTTTGACCTGATTTATACCTCTCAGAATTTATTCCTGTCCCAGCCTGCGCTTTAGTGCCCCACACATGACTTACACTTTGCCACTTCATGGAGTTGGTATGCGACCCTTCCTACGCGCGTTTTTTCTAGAACCTCCTAAACCTTCTGTCACTACCGACCTCCTCCCGCCTCTTCACATATTTTCTCACCTGATTCCATATTTTGGCGTGACCACCGGCCGGCGGTGGCGTTTCTTCTCGTTTCGGCGTCCTCCTCGTTCCCCACACAGTGGGCTCTGTGAGCTCCTACTGATCGTCTATACGGCGCGTTTCACTATATAGTTTGTTTCCATTTCTTGCTTCTCTTTCTTTTCTTTCTCTTTCCACCTCCTTCTTACTTTCTTTCCTAGCTATCCCCCCCCCCCCTTTTTTTTTTTTTTTTTTTTCTTCTCATAGGGAACAGCGGGTCTCTTCCCCAAGCCGTTTATCTTTTCCACTTTTTCTTCTTATTCTCCCCCCCCCCCCTTTTTTTTTTTTTTTTTTTTTTTTTTTTCCCTTTCCCCTTTCCCCTCATCCCTAGTGCATTTTACTGACGGGTTACCATGTCGGCCTCCACCTCAGTCTCAGGACCATTGTCCTTGAAATGCCTTTCACTCAATGCCAAGGGCCTGAACGTGCCCGAAGCGTTCCATGTTGCTCTCCTACGTGCGTAAACAAAAAGCGGATGTGGTCTTCCTCCAAGAGACGCACTTTCGCCAGGATTCTATACCCAAACTTTTCAATTTCCATTTCCCTACAGTTATCCATGCTGCTAACCCTCTAGCCAAATCAAAGGGTGTTGCCATCTTACTCGCTAGACATTGTCCTTTATCGGTGTCGGACTCCCTTGTTGATCCAGAAGGCAGATACCTGTTTGTAAAGGGTTTTTGTGCTAAGCGACCTGTTACACTGGCCAATGTATATGCTCCTAACACCAAGCAGGTTTCTTTCATGCGCTCAATTACCACCGCCCTGGCTGGGTTCCAATCCGGAATGTTGATTTTAGGGGGCGACTTGAATGTCCCACTTAGCCCGCTGTTAGACTCCTCTTCAGGTAGCTCCTTTCTGCCGTTCAAGGCCCTTAAACAAATACGCACACAACTACAACATCTACAATTGCATGACTCCTGGAGAACCCTTCACCCTTCTGTGAAAGACTACACATTTTACTCTGCTCCCCATAATAAATATTCCAGGATAGATTATTTCTTCCTGTCGCAATCGGATCTCCCACTCCTCCATGCTGCTTCGATAGAACCTATGGTTCTTTCCGACCATCACCCCATCACCATGACCTTGCGGTTCCCTGATGTGTTCATTCGCTCGAAATTTTGGCGCCTGGATGCTTCCCTTCTTGCAGATCCCGCTATTTTACAGGAGATACGCTCCAATCTGACGGAATATTTTCCCTAAATTCCTCTCCTGATATCTCCCCCCTCACGCTGTGGGAAGCCCACAAGTGTGTTATCCGTGGCTTCCTCATTGCAGCGGCGACAAAGCGCAAAAGAGATAGACAAGAACATTTGAAATTCCTCACGGGCAGGATACACTCCTTGGAGAGGGCGCATAAACGGTCTCTGGCCGCGTCGACCTTATCTGAACTAACGAGTCTACGCTCACAACTTCTTACTGAACTGGGTAGGGTGGTTAAGAAACGATTCATTCTTTCACAAAAGCTGTATTATGAATTTGCTAATAAGAGTGGGAAGTTTCTCGCCAGAGCTCTCCGTGAACAAAGATCCAGCATGACGGTGCACAGAATTAGGGGTTCTGATGGCACTATGGCCACATCTAACCCTGACATTGCCACCCACTTCGAACAATTTTACACTTCCTTATATAATCTCCCTCCGGAACATCCCCCTCTGCCCACTGACAATTCCAGGGCCTCCCTGATTTCCGAGTTTCTCCGCCGTCACGGCCCGGCGGCCCTCTCGGAGGACTTGGCTGCATCGTTGGAAACAGACCTGACACTGAATGAGGTGCAGTGTGCTTTGCAACGGATGAAACCGGGTAAGAGTCCGGGCCCGGACGGCTTTTCGGCGGCCTATTACAAATCTTTCCTTGACATCCTGGGTACCCCTTTCCTATCGGCATTCAACACTTTCTCTCAAGACCCTCAACCTCAAAATCGCCTTCTGGAAGCCCATATCACAGTTATTCCTAAAGGTGACAAGGATGCCACACAGGTTTCTAATTATAGACCCATCTCCCTGCTGAATGTGGACATTAAAATCTTTGCGAAAATCCTTGCCAATCGACTTCTTCCTCTGCTCCCCTCCTTGATCCATTTGGACCAAGTTGGATTTATCCCGGGTAGGGAGGCCAGGGATAATACCATTAAGGCCCTCAACCTCCAACATTGGCTCTGTAAATCTAACTTTCCCGGTTTCTTCCTTTTCCTGGATGCGGAGAAGGCCTTTGATAGGATCGCCTGGGACTATCTGCAGGAGTCTTTGGTGCAATTGGGTCTGGGTGAGAAGATGCTCAATTTTATAATGACCCTGTATTCAGGCCCTACTGCGCGTGTCCGGGTCAATGGCCATTTGTCAAACTCTTTTCCTTTGGGCAACGGTACGCGTCAGGGTTGCCCCCTTCTCCACTCTTGTTCGTCCTTTCCTTGGAGCCCCTTCTACGGAAGTTGCGCTCTAACCCCGACATCAAAGGAATTGCGGTCTCGGATAAGGAATATAAGCTTGCGGCTTACGCGGACGATATTCTTCTTTTCCTTGCCGAACCGCATATTACTCTGCCAAATTTACTAAAGGACTTTGCATTTTTTCGTTATTTGTCGAACTTTAAGATTAACTTTTCCAAGTCTTTCGCTCTCAACATCACCTTGCCTTCGGAAGTAGTTTCTGATTGTGAGTCGCGTTTCCCGTTTCATTGGGAAAGGGACTCACTTTCTTATTTAGGTGTACAGCTTACCCGCAACCCTGACGATTTATATGCTAAGAATTTTTTACCCACTCTTCGTTCTCTCCAAGGGGATCTGAATAAATGGCACCGTCCTTGCTTTTCGTGGTTTGGAAGAGCTGCGATAATTAAAATGAACATCCTTCCTCGCCTTCTCTACCTCTTTCAAACTCTGCCCATCCACATACCGCTTGCCTTCTTCACATCCTGTAGGAGGCTCTGTTCTCTATTCCTATGGAACCATAAACGCCCGCGCATTGCTTATTCCCAACTGATTCTCCCTAAACTTAGTGGTGGTATTAGCCTTCCTGACCTTCACCGTTACTATTTGGCGTGCCAGCTCTGCCGTGTAGTGGATTGGCATGTCCACTCTGCTTCTAAAGACTGGGTGCAACTAGAACACGCCTTCTCGTCCGCACCCCTGATTTCGATCCCTTGGCTGCCGCTGAAGCATACGCCTCAGGTCCTTCTTAGTCACCCTTTGGTAGGCCCTACCCTGAAAGCCTTCCGCTATACCTGCAAATCAGCATCTATTTCTGCGTCTCCGAATTGTCTCACTTCCATCCGACTCAACCCTGACTTCCCCCCTGGAATGCACAAGAACTTTCTATCTGAACATTGGCCGCATGATCAAATTTTGGCCAAACACTTTCTCCACGAAGGCAAGATGAAATCACTCCACGAACTGCGTGACAGCTTGGGTACCCGCGATTTTCCTCTCTGGGTTTATTTGCAAATACGGCATTATCTGCTCTCGCATAAACCTTTCCGTGATTGGACCCGCCCTCTTACCCCTTTTGAGGATATTTGCTCGAAAGGAGAACCGCGTAAGCATTTGATTTCAGAAATTTACCCTCTCTTAATTGAGAATAGGGCCTATAACTCCCTGCCCTCCTGTCAGGCCTGGAATAGAGATTTGGATGATAATTTGGCGGATTCCGACTGGGCACGTGTATTCAAATATTCTCATAAATGCTCCCTTAATGTCTCGACGCAGGAAAACGGTTACAAATTGGTGTCGAGGTGGTATCGCACCCCTTCACGAATTTCTCATTTCAATCCTTCTTATCCCAATACCTGTTGGAGGTGTGGGGCTGCGGACGGATCATTTTTACACATCTGGTGGTCCTGTCCGAGCATTCAACCGTTTTGGCAAGAGGTCCATAGGATTGTAGTATCGGTGACGACCGTGCCTCTGGATCTGTCTCCGGCCCAGTTTCTCCTCCATCATTCCTCCCTTCCGGGGGGACAATATCATAGATCTTTGGCCATGCATATGGTCAACGCGGCCAGACTCTGCCTTCCCGTCCTTTGGGGCTCTTCTCGCCCCCCCTCTGTTCGTGATTGGCTTGTCCGTGTGGGTAAAATGGCAGACATGGAGGAACTAATTGCGTCGGCCCTTGACACTCCCACTAAATTTTCCCACATTTGGGCCTGCTGGATCTACTTCACAACTACTCCTACGTACAGGTCTCTTATGGACCATCAGGTCTGACTTGGTCCGGCTTTCCTGCTGATGTTACTTCTTTACAGTAGTTTTTGTGATAGGCACTGAGACTCTTTTCGACAATGTATCCCTTCCCACGCGACTCTGGCGTTAGCTTAACTCCTATCCCCATGCATGAGTAACCCCAGATATTGCTGTCATTTCTCACCCCATATGTTTCCCCCCCCCCCCCTATTAATTTATTTTGGAATTTTTTTTTTTTTTTTTTTTTCTTCACCTTCCACCCCCATCCCCCTCTTTCTGTTTCTATCACTTTTCTCTCTATTTCCCTTTCTCTCTTTTCTCCTTTCTCTTTTCTTCTCGCCTCTCGCTTTGCTATGCTACCTGGAACACTAGACATGCCATCCTTTCACTCTCCTCACTTCCATCAACGGCTCCTACCGCAACGTATGCCGGTTTTTGTAACTCTCCACCTTGCCATAAGTTTTTTGTCCAATTCCTACGTTCAGATGCCATGACCACTCTTCCTATCGCTACAGCCCTGCTTGGCGAAGCACGAGCGCAGGGGATATTATGTGATGCAATTGCACCCCATACTATACTATATTGGCTCCGGTTTGTTGCAAGCATAACCTTATTGTAGTCGGGTTTTGTATTATTGCATTATCATTATCTGTATTTTCTTGTTTGAGTTACTGCTGTATCGCTGTAGGTTGTGCCTGCTGTTTCGCTTAGGCACCCTGTACATGTCTTTTGTACCATTATGTTCTTTCTTAATAAAGGCTTTCTTTTTGGAAAAGTGTCGTACATGGTTGCTAAAAAGGTATTGTGGTTGCTTAATATTTCTGTTGCAATGTTTTTTTATGTCCTTCAACTTCTCAGAACTCACCTTTGTTACTGTAGTCATCTATCATGACAATCTCAGCTAGGTATTTCCTAGGGGTCCTTTTGATAACACTGTGAACAGTCCTCATGAGCGTAGACCAGCCTTCATTATGGAAGACAATAATCACACTAGATGTCAGCAGGTTTTCATCATATTGCCAGTACTTGCACCTACAAACAACAAATGTATGTGATCAATGAAAGTTATAGTAGAGCTATTTTTTAAAATACACAATATTTCATATAAACATATTGCTGTCACCATCCTTAACACATTTCTTTACTTCTCTGCAAGAAGTATTGAGTCTTGTCATGAAAATGTAAGCAGCACAGTTGATCTCCTTTTCAAAATACCAATCTTTCTGACCATCATGTCACTCTCTTTGCTTTAATGTTCTGAAAAAAAAAGTCTTGCTCTAAACAACAAAATAGATTCTACAAAAACAAAGAATTCCAGTTTGATTCCAGCTGCCTGGCATGCTGATCCAATGGCTAAAATACCCGAAGCACTGACTTCATTTGCCAAATGCATTTTCCAAGTTAGTTAAGGGAAGCCAAACATGTAGAGATTTATTACTCTAAGCTCAGGAGCTCAATGAGAATATGGATGAAGAACTCTCCCCAATCCACCACTGCACATGTATCAAACACAAGGCTTGCAGGACAAATCCGGCCCACCAGGGCTGGGCTCCATCGGCTTAGAAGTGGAGCCCAGACCCAGGGAAGACAGCTTTCCGTGCCTCTCTTTTGCCTCCAAGGAGCAGTTTGTCTCATTGGTCTCCTGTACAGAGCACCTTGGGGCTGGCAGGCAGCAGGCACTCTTTCAGAGCTGCGCATCCTGTCTCTGGGCAGGCTTAGGTGGAGGGGTGGGAAAGGCCGGGGTGTGGCTGTCTTCCTCCCTTCTCTCACATGTGGCCAGTTTACTCTGGCTAATTCAGCTGCTTGGAAATACGAAGGAGAAATGGAGATGACATCCCTGCAAGACTCCTACTTCCATGCAGTAAGGGGCTAATAGATAGAGGTTTTTCCCTGTTGGAATTTCTCTGCCCTGCCTACTACACTGCAACACAAATGGCCATGGAACTTCTGTTGTATCATAACCTGGGCTGGTCACTGCTCACTGACTGCTTTGCCCTACTGCCATGTACTGCTCACTACTACTACTACCCTCCCCTACTACTATTACACATTGCCCTGCCACTACATACTGCTCACTGCCCTCCCCTACTACTAATACTACACATTGCCCTGCCACTACATACTGCTCGCTGCCCTCCCCTACTACTACACACTGCCCTGCCACTATATACTGCTCACTGCCCTCCCCTACTACTACTACACACTGCCCTGCCACTATATACTGCTCACTGCCCTCCCCTACTACTACTACACACTGCCCTGCCACTATATACTGCTCACTGCCTCCTCTACTACTACACACTGCCCTGCCACTATATACTGCTCACTGCCCTCCCCTACTACTATTACACACTGCCCTGCCACTATATACTGCTCACTGCCCTCCTCTACTACTACACACTGCCCTGCCACTACATACTGCTCACTGCCCTCCCCTACTACTAATACACACTGCACACTGCCCTGCCACTACATACACACTGCTCACTGCCCTCCTGCCCTACTACTACTACTACACACTGCCCTGCCACTATATACTGCTCACTGCCCTCCCATACTACTACTACACACTGCCCTGCCACTATATACTGCTCACTGCCATCCCCTACTACTACTATATACTGCTCTGCCACTTCATACTGCTCACTGCCCTCCCCTGTTGCTACTACTACACACTGCCCTGCCACTACATACTACTCACTGCCCTCCCCTACTACATACTGCCCTGCCACTACATACTGCTCACTGCCCTCCCCTGCTACTACTATACACTGCCTGCCACTATATACTGCTCACTGCCCTACCCTACTACTATGCACTGCCCTGCCACTACATACTGCTCACTGCCCTCCCCTAATACTACTACACACTGCCCTGCCACTACATACTGCTAACTGCCCTCCCCTACTACTACTACCTGCCCTTCTCCTACTACTACTATATACTGCTCTGTCACTTCATACTGCTCACTGTTCTCCCCTGCTACTACTACACACACTGCCCTGCCACTACATACTGCTCACTGCCCTCCCCTACTACACACTGCCCTGCCACTACATACTGTTCACTGCCCTACCCTACTACTACGCACTGCCCTGTTACTACATACTGCTCACCTCCCTCCCCTACTACTACTACACACTGCCCTGCTACTACATACTGTTCACTGCCCTCCCCTGTTACTACTACACACTGCCCTGCCACTATATACTGCTCTCTGCCCTCCCCTACTACTACTACACACTGCCCTGCCACTATATACTGCTCACTGCCCTACCCTACTACTACACACTGCCCTGCTACTACATACTGCTCTGCCACTACATACTACTCACTGCCCTCCCCTGCTACTACTACACACTGCCCTGCACTATATACTGCTCACTGCCCTTCCCTACTACTACGCACTGCCCTGCCACTATATACTGCTCACTGCCCTCCCCTACTACTACTACTACTACACACTGACCTGCCACTATATACTGCTCACTGCCCTACCCTACTACTACGCACTGCCCTGTCACTACATACTGCTCACTGCCCCCCCATACTACTACTACTACACACTGCCCTGAATTCTCAATGAAGTAGGAGGAGCTAGAGACAATCAGCGCAGCACGATTATCCTTCATAATGAAGCACAATTGTTTCTACCTGAATAAATCTGAATGACTGTGATCTTGAAAAAATATTCAAATTATTTATTATTCAGAGATCCCTTTGAATATTAACACTGGGTAAACTTACTGCATTTAATACACATTATAGTACTAATATAAGCTATAAGAATATATGATAAAAGTAATCTTCTATATATTTAATGGGTATTTAGATGAATATATTTAATGGCTATCCTGTGTGACAAGCATATAAATGTTGGTTTCACTGTGCCAGTGAGTGGAAATACAATATTAAACAGACTTTGAGAGTACTGCATTACATAGTTACTATACTGAGAATACACTATACAGAATTATCTTTATGACAGTCTACACTCCGATATCTGTCAGTTTGTAGGATATGAAACGTGACTTTGAAGTGATCATGTACCATGAAATGCACAGTCATAAAACTGCAGTTTGGGTTTTAGATTCTACAAGAATGAAAAAGCAATGGACATCTTTGCCTGCATTCACACCTGAGCAGAGAGTGAGCAGCATGTACTTCTGGTGTTACGTGTTTAAAAATGCTCCCATTGAAGTCTATGAGGCTAAAAATACCTGTAAGAGGTATTAAATCCAAAAAATTTGATTTTTTTTGTTACTCATCGTAAAATCCCTTTCTCTGAATTCATTTATACAGCTTTTCTGAATCTTGACCATAGGGTTATATTGCCACTTACAGGACTACGACACTAGACAGAAAAGAACACAGCACCGCCTATGGGCAGTCCTAGCCGGTATAAAACCCCCTTCCTGCTATAGGCAATCCAGTTCTTAACAAAGAAATGTCAGAAGTACAATCTCCATTAACGGTTGGGTGCTGTGTCCATCAATGAACTCAGAGAACGAGATTTTACAGTGATTAACAAAAAATTCCATTTTCTCTTATGTTCATTGATGGACACAGCTATTCTGAATCTTGACCATTGGGATGTCCCAAAGCAGTGCCTTAACCGCCTCCTGCCCGCCATATAAGGTAATGACGGGAACAAGGCGGTTCACTCATTCTGGGAGGATGTCATATGACGACCTCCAACTCTAACCGTGCATGCGTGGCTCTGGGTCCCTCGGACACAGCAGATCACCAATCAACAGAAAGAGCCGAAGATGTCGGCTCCGTCATGTGATCAGTTGTGTCCAATCACAGCTGATCACATGTAAATAGGGAAATGCAGTTATCGGCATTTCTCTCCTCACGAGCTGTCACGCTGACAGCTCGAGAGGAGTGCTGGTAAAAGGCATTCCTTGGAGGGGACATCTACACTGATCATCAGGGCACTGATGATCAGTGTAGCCCCAGCAGTGCCACTTGTCAGTGTCCATCAATGCCAGCTGTCATTGCCCATCAATGCCACCTGCCAGTGCCCATCAGTGCCTCATCAATGCCACATATCAGTGCCCACCAGTGCACATCAATGCCACATATCAGTGCCCATCTGAGCTGCCTTTCAGTGTCACCTATCAGTGCCGCCTATCAGTGCCACCTATCAGTGCCATATATGAGTGCTGCCTTTCAGTGCCCATCAGCGATGCCTGTCAATGCCCATCAGTGCCACCTACTAGTGCCTCCTCATCAATGCCTGTCAGTGCAGCCTATCAGTGCCTATCACTGCAGCCTCATTAGCGCACATCAGTGAAGGAGAAAACCACTTATTTACAAAATTTTATAACAAAAACTAAGAAAAAAAGTTTTTTTTTTCAACATTTTCAGTTGTTTTTGGCTTGTTTATCAAAAAATAAAAAACCCAGAGGTGATTACATACCACCAAAAGAAAGCTCTGTTTAAAAAAAAAATGATAAAAATTTCATATGGGTACAGTGTTGCATGACTGCGCAATTGTCATTCAAAGTGCGACAATGCTGAAAGCTGGAAACTGGCCTAGGCAGGAAAGGGGTATAAGTGCCCTGTAGGCAGGTGGTTAAAGAGAGGTGAGCAAAAACAACAACTGGAACAATCAGACAAACATAGCAACCATCCAAACAACCCCTAAAGGGGCAAACAAGGAACCTGAAACAGTAGCCAGCAAAACCTTGCAGCCAAAATGATTATACAAGGATGCAAATACATCAACTTAGTAAATTTTAGTAAAAGCGTACAAAGATGACCAGGTAGTCAAACCTGAGACACAGATGCCAGAAAGTGCAACACAGAGTGAAAAAATCCTGACAGAGGTTGTACCCATTCCATGCTCCATCCAAAATAAAAAACGTTTGGTTTTAGATATATTTGGGCTGACAGTTTATTGCAGTTAGCTCTTTAGTCCTGCTGTTAGCGGTCTTTGCCTCAC